AAACAATTATTGTGTTCACACAAATTAATGCAAACACCACAATACAGTATTTTCAGCAGCAGAAGGAAAACTCTCCCTTCCTTCTCTGACCCAGACAGAGCTGGAACTGAAATAGGTATTTGAGCCTGAATTAAACTTCCTGAGCAGAGACTCCCAGCTGGGCCCAAGTGATGTGAACAGCAGAGTCTGAGGGACTATTTGAGCCATTTTCCCTTCCAGTGGCTTTATTTCTGAACTGCAGCACTGGAAGAAGGAGAAGAAGTGCTCTCAGGTCTCACTTAACTGCAGAGAGCTGAACAGCTCCAAGCTCAGAACTCAGCCCTGCTTTGCTCAAATTCCTTCTTCAAATACAGTTCTTCTGCTCGTACAGTTGGGCATCAAGTTCTGCTCAGTAAAAAGGCAAAAGACCAAAATATTCAAAGTATTAAGCTGTGTTTTACCCTGGCTGGTGCAAATGTGGCTCAGTTTCGATCCGACTCAGAGAGATCGAGATTCAAAGCAAATTCACTTCGGTGGAGCCTTTAAAGTTCTCTTGGATAACCAAAAATATCAAAAAGAACTTATGAACTTCCTCAGTTATTCCGGATTTTTCGGTGTTCACAGAAGTGTCAAATACTCAGAATCCACAGAAATTGATACAATTTAATTATTTCAATTTAATACCCAATTATCCTCTGGTATCTGTAGGTGTTTTATTTTAGAAAGAGAGTTCTTTCCATAAGTTCAGAGGAAGAGAAACTAAAGCTACATATCTAAGGTGGGGCTAAGCATTGAAATCACTTTTCATGCATTTTTGAAATGTTAATTTTGTGTGAAGTATTTACCCCATTCCCTCACACCTATGAATAAATAATCCCAGTCCTGTGCCTGTATTATTTGTATGCACAGGGGAAAGCAGAGCAGTGAATCCTGATTCTCTTCTGCATCATCCAGCATAGTAAATATTCCACAGAAGTGGAATAAATTCCATTTCTGAGGGAGAGGATTTTGGAAAATCCAGGTGGCAGCTGATTCCACCACACTGCCAACAGGAATGATGGTAAAAGTCACTGCTTTTGGGGAGGGCAAGGAAAAACAGGAATTCTGTCCCAATATTATGTAGGGATGAGGAAGAAGGGTCAGGGAACACTTTGCATGCTGGCCACGGTGACCAGGGAAGATTGGAAGTGTTGAGCTGTTTAAGGGCTGTGTGTGACCAAAGCCAAACACCGAGAGGCAAAGCCCAGTTTTCAAGGCCCTGCAAAGATAAAAGAGGAAGAAACTGGAGTATAAACCGAATGGCAAGTGGCACTGTGAGTCCCCTGGCCCGGTGGAAGATGTCCCTGCCCGTGGCAGGGGGTGAGATTTAAGGTCCCTTCCAACCCAAACCATCCTGTGATTCCCTAAATCCCTGACCCCGTGAATTCTCCTACACACAGGAGGTGTCAAACAAGAGCTTTGTGTTCTTTCACCTTGCCAGGAAGGTGTGTGAGCAGAACTTCTCCTGCTCTTTCCTTTCTACGTCCTCCTTTTCCCCTCAAGTTCATCCTTGGGGTCTCTGTGACAACTGTTGTCAGTTGGGTAAGAGGTTAAGTGACAAAAAAAACACCCCCTGGATGCACATCCTCCCTTCTTTTTAGGAGCTGCATTTTAAAATGTGTGTTTAAAGCATATCCATGGAGTTTGGGGTGCAGAGGGGGGCCCTGCAGTGGGTGCAAAGGTGTGTGTTTGAGGGGAGATTAATCTTTCTGTCCCTCGGGTGACCCATTTCTGAAACAGAACAGATATCCAGCTGCTCCATCCTCAAGCTCCTGCTCCTCCAGAGAATGAAGTGCCTGAGCCATCCAGGGTGCTGATGTTGTGCTCAGGTGGGTGGGGACCCTTCCCCCAGTTTTAGGGGGCTCAAGGTATCACCTCCTGTCCCATCACCCTGTCCCTGTGTCACACAGCCTGGGCTCAGGTGAGGAGCACTCAGGGAACAGCCTGAATTATAGGAACAGAACAGGGGAGAAAAAATAGATTCTGAGCTGTCTGGGGGACAGGTTAAATTTAGCACAAGAGCCCAGCAAAGGAGAGAAACTGCACCAGTTGGGACTGCTGATGGCTCTGCTTAATCTCCCTCGTGCTGGCCGTTCCTGCCTCGTTCTTCCTGCAGGCATTGTTGGGAAAAGAGGAAGGAGGGATAATATTTATGCAGGAGTGAGGGGGAGGAGGAGGGGGGAAGCACCAAGTGTGGATTTGCTGGGGGTGGGAGAGGCAGCCCTAACCCAGCACTGATTGCAAACTGAGAGAGAGGAGGTTTAGAAGAGATATTAGAAAAAATTCTGCCCTGGGAGGGTGGGCAGGCCCTGGCACAGGTTGGGCAGCCGTGGCTGCCCCTGGATCCCTGGAAGTGTCCAAGGCCAGGTTGGAGCAGCCTGGGCTGGTGGGAGGTGTCCCTGCCCGTGGCAGGGGGTGGAACAGGATAATATTCAATGCCCTTTCCAACCCAAACCACTCTGGGATTCTCTGACTTTATTACCATCTCCTGGTGTTTCCTGTGTCCCAGGATGCAGTC